TCTAGTAGGTTGATATGCTGCTCAAGAAACATATCAATTATCAATCTTTTGTGGAAATTGTTAATTTTTAGAAAGCTAGAAACAGAAAAGTAAACCGCCGATTTCAAATGGAAATCTTTTGTAACATCATCTTTACTCTCATTTTTGATTAACTTGCTGCATTTTTTAATTAAAAAAAAAAAAAGTTTATCCCTCTCTTACTGACCCCAAACCTTTGTAGGATAGTGTATTTTGCTACCGATTTCCAATGACATTCTCACCTGGGTCTTGGAATCAGGTCGCAGCCAGGACAGGGTGCCGTCACGGCGTAGTTCAGCCATTTTAGCGTTCAGCTTGTGGGCCAGGACAATAGTGAGAGGCATACACTCCTCGGTCTCATCAGTGGCATAACCGAACATCAAGCCCTAAGAAGCAAAGTACTCAGTCAATCCAGTAAAGATAAGATTCGCCAATTCACATCCTGGCATATGAATAAAGAAAGTCGTTATCTAGCGCTTACTTGGTCTCCAGCTCCAACATCCTCTTCACTGCGGTCAAGGTGAACCCCCTGAGCAATATCTGGTGACTGCTGCTCAAGAGCCACAAGCACATTGCAGGTCTTGAAGTCAAACCCTAAAAGTACAATAAAAAGCTGATTAATTCTACCCTAAATCCAACTGGCAGCTAATACAAAATCATAAACCCACAGATTATGCAGTGTCATAAGTTATGCAAGTATTATGGCAGCATAGTAGCACTCTTTCCCCTGACATTTAGTGCTGCTATACCTTTGGAAGAGTCATCGTATCCAATGTGCTTGATGGTGTCCCTGACAACCTTCTGATAATCCACGACAGCACGAGAGGTGATCTCACCGGCAAGTAAGACCATTCCGGTCTTGGCAACCGTCTCTGCCAGGACAGATAGAAGGGGGTTAGAGCACACAGTAAAAAGATTCAAGTTGCAAGCATGGAGAAAAGCGTGCAGGTAAGCATAATTTGACACTCACCACATGCTACTTTGGCATCAGGATCCTGTTTGAGGTGGGCGTCCAACACAGCGTCACTGATCTGGTCACAAATCTTATCTGGAACAGAGGAATGAGAGGTGTAACCATTTAATCAGCCAATTAGAGCATAGAATTCAGGTTAAACGATAACCAAGATAAATGGCAACCGCCTCCAAAGGCATAACTGGATTTTGGATTTGCTTAACTCAAACACGTTAAAATGGCAAGCTTGGGATATATTGTAAAAAAAATTGTGTTATATTGCGTGTATATATTTATAAGATAACGGACCTTTTTTTTTTTTTTTTTTTTTTTTTTTAATT